TTGTTTCATGTATATTTGATGGTTGCAATAATATACAATCTCTGTCTCATTTATATAGGTTGATTTTATTTTTCACACGAATTAAGAAATATTAATTAATGTTATTAAAAAAATATTTTTTGTTAAAAACTTTCCAAGTTTAACTTTATTTATAGGGCTGAATAAAACTTTCGAACCAAACCGACCTGATCGGACAAGTACCGAATCGAACCGAGCAGTTTTTCTTAAGTTAAATACTCGAACGGGTATCTGAATCGAAAACTAACGGATTCGATTCGATTCTCTATTTTAAACCAAGAACCAAATATCCCTAATTTTTTTATCTTCAATAAATCAAATTATTTTATTTTTCTAAATAACTTTGCTAACTAATCAATTTAGCCCAAAATCCAAAGTATGATTTTCTTATGTCTAATTTCCAACCTAAATTCAATCAATCAAATTGACCTAAATTTTACTCAAATCTATTTTTCTAACGTAGTGCTGTTTCTGCCGTTATGAAGAAATCGAATTGCAAGCTTATCTTTACTATTGTGAGCTCACTATCTTTTTCTTTTTATAATTTTAACAGTCAAATCTATAAAAAAAAAAAAACTCAACAAAGGGCGCAAGAGAGGTTGGACTTCATTATTTTGTAAGAACTAAAATTAAATATGTCGTTGGTTGAATTAATGTAACGTTATTGTAAATATTAAAAAAAAAAATTATTGTACGAAACCCGAAAATCGAACTGAATCGAATCCAAATGGTTCCATAAATAAATTTGGACCCGATTATTCTACTTACAAAATATCCAAAATTTTGGGTCAGACCATATCCAGTCCTACTTATTTAATTATCAGCAACTAATAGTAAAATATTGTTTGAAGTAGTAAATAAATTGAATAAATTAATTGGATGATTTCATGAAGTAGATATCTTTATATTTGTATAATTTCAAGATTAAATGGAACAAAATTCGTTATAACTAAGCAAATTAAGAGCGTGTTTGGACGTACTTAAAATCCAATTAAAATTGAAAAAATATGCATTATTGGATCTCACTCATCTAATAAAAGACAACAATAACATCTAATTTTTTAATTTTAATCATATTTTAATTTCTACCGAACACGCCCTAAATAAAGGTATATTAGTAGATGAACAAAACAAAACATTGTTAGCCCTTGTTTGATCTACATTATTTTTTCATTCTCATTTTTCAACTTTTTCAACCACACATTCTTCAATAAAATAATATTTTCCATCACATCAATAATTTGTCCTTCTTTTTCAACCACATATGCTCCATCACATCACTTCAAAAAAATGTATTTTCTCATTTTAATGTACACCAAACGGGAATAGGACTTTGCCCTTGTTTGGCCCCCATTTTGGAGTGTTGAAAATTTTTGGAATAGTGATTGATAGGAGAATGTGTGGTAAAAAAGTAATGAAAAGTTTTTGACTTGTGTGTAATATTATTTTATTTGATGAACGTGTGGTTGAAATGAAGAGAAAAAATTAATGTAATGGAATGAAAAAAAAAAATGAAAGCCAAACGGGGGCTTTGCTAATAGTACACTAATTTTTTACACTTTGGTTGACACTTGCATTGTTGTCAAGTATCAATTAGATGAAAAAACTGTTTGAAATTTAAACTATCCAATTACATAACGCCATGTGGCAAAGTGCAAACCAAAGTGTACACTAAAGTAGAGAAATGATCTAATGAGCACCGGTGCTCATCTTATCCTAAGCACCGATGAGTTGGCACATTAATTCATTGGTGGATTGGAACTCACAAAATCTTTATCCACCAATGAATTAATGTGTCAACTCATCGGTGCTTAGGATAAG